ACACACACATATATATATATATATATATATACTTAAGTTTATAACCAAATACCAAGAAACAACTATGCTTGGCCGAACGCTCATGCACAGTATTACGAACGAAGACGCTCGTCCTCAACTAAGATTCTTCCCAAATGAAAGAATCCAATTCTAACCAAGTTCACTAGAAAACTGAACGGTCAAGGACCGTTCCATAACGAACGTACACTTTCATAGGGAATTTCATGTTAAAATTCTTTATATCAATTCATTTCTCAACATCTATTTTCATAAGATCAAATTCCATATCATAGTAAATAGTCATATTTCATATAAACAAGCATATCAACAATCATGCTTCATATACATTCAACCACTCAATAACATGCATTCATTATCAACGAACGTACAAGCGAACATACAATTAAATTAGATAAGTTTCCCTTACCTCTGAGCGTGAACGAACGTTCCTAGAGGCAGAATTTAAGGTTCGCCTGATTACAATTCCTTCTACCCTCACGTTCAACAATTCTTCAAACTAAACCAAACAACAGAATACCAACAATGGCTCAGACAAGATGAAATCATGCAATTAGAACTTGGTTTGCATGTACCAGATAATGAACGGCTAAGGACAAGAAGAACTTACCAGTTCAGAACTCGAAACCGATCGGTTCAAACTGAAGCTCTTGGCGCCGGGAGTGCTTCTACGGTGCCTGAACGAAGATCGGAGAAGAAGAGGTGAGTGTTTCTTTAAGAGAAGATGACGGAGATGTAGTGAGAAGGAGGAGAAAATGGAGTTTCGGGAATCAGAGAGGAAAATGGTTGCGTGCAGAGAATGGTGTAAACTTTTGAAACTTAGATTTTGCTTTTATCAATTAAAACCGAACGTCCAATTCCTTGCAGCCACCTGTTTTCCATTATCTGAAATTCTAACTCTCGTATTGACACTTGGCATCCACTAGAAAGGGTTTTAGAGTGCGTTTTAATGAGATATGAGAAACATCATCAAAATATTATTATGTATTATAAATTTTTTCTCTTCTACGTGAATATTATATTATATTTTAAAATAAACATGTTTATTATTTTTAACTAAATTTTTTTATTAATAAATATTAGTACTCAATTAAATGATGTAATAAAAAAATTATATATAATTTTCATCTATTAAATTTGAATTTATGATAAAATATATCTTATTAAAAAATATGTAACTAATTTAAATACATATTTCAGTACAAAAATAACAAAAAATATTATCAACCAAATTTTCAAAATAAAATATTTTTGTAAACTTAAAATTATATAGTAATTTGTAAACTTAAAATTATATAGTAATTTGTAAACTTAAAATTATATAGTAATTTGTAAACTTAAAATTATATAGCAATTATTTTTTTAAAACGTAACGCGCGTTGCACGTAGTACAATACTATTAGTTTAGAGAGAGAAAAAAAGTTGCAAGAAATGAAAGGTGGCAAGCAGGTACAGCTGGCTCATTAACAGTCTCCCACGTGTCCTCAAGGCAACCTAAAAGAATCTAAGAAATACGAAAAACTCTGATTCTGATGAAGAAATTGTGAAAAAGTCACTTCAATGGAGTTTGCGAACTTCAAACTCTACCTTAACTCGAAGTGGGTATCGACGGTGGCGAGCATATGGATTCAGTGCACCAGCGGCTCACTCTATACTTTCTCCATCTACTCCCAAACTCTCAAGTCCACTCAGCTCTACGATCAGTCAACGCTCGACCTTGTCTCCGTCTTCAAGGACATCGGAGTCAACGCCGGCGTCCTCTCCGGCGTCCTCTACGACTTCCTTGCCCGCACAACCACAGCTGGGCCCTGGATCGTCCACTTCTTGGGCTCGGCCCAGTGCTTCTTGGGCTATTTCCTTATGTGGGCCGCCGTAGCCGGCCTCTTTCCGCCTGTACCCGTCCCCGTCATGTGCTTCTTCATGTTGGTTACAGCCCACGGGCATAGTTTCTTCAACACCTCCAACGTTGTCACCGGCGTTCATAATTTCCCTCACAACAGCGGCACCATTGTCGGCATTTTGAAGGTTTTGTTTCTTCTGTTTATCTCTTTGGAGAATCCTAATTAATAAAGAGATAAGTTAGAACCTGACGTTAATGCACAACCATCAACACCTTGCTAGATGAAGCATGAAATCTAAGTAAAAGTAAAAAAAAAAAAAGTATTTTTTTAAGTAAAAAGAATTAAACTGTAAATATTTTAAAGTTTTTTATTGAAATAAAAATATTTTAGAAATCATGTTAAAAATAATAATGTTAAAATCTCCTTGTATGAAGTTGATATTATATTAAATCAATATAAATCTTATTTATTTTATTTAGAATACAATTTAAGGAAAATTTGACTAATGTAGATAAAATGGTTAATTTGAAGATTCTGAATTGAATTGCATAAAGAAATACTATAAAAAAGTACTGAATTCTTTTATATGTAGGACGCCACTAAATTGTTTTTATTAATTTGATTTTAAAAATGGAATTCCTATTTTTGAGTTTTTTTATTCTATACTGCTTACACTAAACTGAGTTAGTTATAACTTATAATATTAAAAATACATTTCAAAATATTTTAAAACAAAATGTCTATTTTTAATGCTTTAAACAATTAACAATTCAAACCATCTTTATACTTCAAATAATCAGACAATTTAGAGTAATTTAATTCAACTCTAGTGTAGTTCGTTCAAATTATTGTTTAATTCAATTAAATAAAGAATTATATAGTTCGATTAAGTTTTCCCAACTTCAGTTTTTTAGCAGTTCAATTTAATTAACGTATTTTGCATTCGTTTATTTTATTTTCAAACAAGTGATAATTAAATGTAACAATTAAAACGAAAATAAACTCTGTTTCTTTAAATTTTAAGACTAATGTACTCTTATTTTACCACCCTGACTCTCTATTTTTCATACATATGTTCTCTTATTAATATCTTAAATTTTATTTTATGGGATTTGTTAATGTTCTCATTGTATTGTATGATGTGTGTGGCTAATGAAAGGTTACCACTCATTAACTCAATACATTACTGTATTATTAAAAGAAAAAAAATTAGTCAAAGAATGTGGTGAAATGGGTAATTGTCATTCAGGTTAAATAGAATTACAATTAATAATAGTTATTTTATAAAAGTTAATCTATTGAATAGTGTAACTAATTTAATGATTTTGTTAGCCAATGGCTTTAGATAATATTTCTATTATATATTGAAAAATATATTAAAAATCATGAAAATATAATAAAAACTTTTCACTTTTAAATTTTTAACCAGTGCCCTTTAGGATGTCCTCTACTGCATTCTATATAACTTGGCAACAGTGCAAGTTCTGTTTGAAATTGATATGAATATGTTGATATGATATTGAATGCTGTATAAGAATACAACTTAGTGTATAAATATTGAACTTTTTGCTGTGCCAGTTTTTAGTTACAATAAGGTGCCTCAGAGACTCTGTAGACTTTAATCCTTGGTGTCTTGAATTTTGTTGAAGTTTGGCCATTGGGTTTTTTTCCTCTTTTTGATAGGGATTTCTTGGTCTAAGTGGAGCAATATTAATTCAAGTGTACAAAACATTATTCAACAACAAGCCTATGTCGTATCTTCTGATGCTAGCACTCTTACCACCTATAAATGCTTTGCTGCTTATGTGGTTTGTGAGAATCCACAACACTCGTCAGGATGAAGAAAGGAAGTATTTGAATATATTTTCTGTGATGGCTATGGTTGTTGCTGCATACCTTATGTTTGTTATAATTCTAGACAACATCTTTAGCCTGCAATCATCGGTGCGCATCTTTATACTTGTTGTTCTTGTGTTGTTGCTTGCCTCACTTCTCTTCATTGCATTTAAAGCACACGAAAAGTGCTCTGGCGAAAGAAGTTTAGAAGATTTTCTGGATGAAAGGGCACAACTAATTGTGGAGCCTGAAAAGGTGGATGCAAGGTCAGATTCTTTGAACAATCGAATGACTAGTTTGCAACTAGGAGAAAACCTGAATCTTTTCCAAGCAGTGAAAACTGTGAACTTTTGGATTTTTTTTGTTTCTGTTGCTTGTGGTATGGGATCAGGAGTTGCAACTGTTAATAATTTGGGGCAAATAGGGGAATCTCTTGGTTACACAAGCCATGAGACAGGTTCCTTGGTTTCTTTGTGGAGCATTTGGAATTTTCTAGGTCGATTTGGAGGAGGTTATGTGTCAGATTATTATTTGCACACAAGAGGATGGGCAAGACCTTTATTCATGGTGATCACTTTAATGGTGATGAGCATTGGTCATGTGGTGATTGTTTCTGGACTTCCAGGTGCCCTATATGCTGGTTCAGTATTGGTGGGTATTTGTTATGGCTCTCAGTGGTCACTCATGACCACTCTCACTTCTGAGATATTTGGTGTTGCAAATATGGGCAGCATATTCAACACCATTAGTATAGCAAGTCCTGTGGGTTCTTATGTATTCTCTGTCAGAGTAATTGGATATGTATATGACAGAGAAGCATCGGAAGGAAACACATGCATTGGAACTTCTTGTTTTATGTTTTCATTTCTCATAATGGCATCTGCCACTATTCTGGGTTCTCTAACAGCATTACTTTTGTTTTTTCGGACCAAAGATTTCTATGCTCAGGTTATACTCAGAAGAATTCAAAATATTCAAAATACTGTGAGGGAATAATGGATTCTATCAGGGATTGAATGACTAAAAAGTAATGTCAGAGCTTTTGTTTAGCTTTCTGAGTGTGTTTACAGGTTTAATTCACTTTGATTCTTGTGATATATGATGCTAAATTTTGTTGTAAATTGATGTGAACTACTTTTTTACCAATTCTAATGTAAATTTGATTAAATTTTTGCGTAGGGAAAAACTGTATTTGGGTGTGTTTACTGCTCTGAGTAGTCATAATGAGTATCAGTTGGATGGTTGTTCACCATGTGTGAATTTAGTCTAGTTGGTTCATATTCCTCTGTTACATTGTCTATCATGTCTTTAGAGACTTAATTCTGCAAGTTTAAATCTGTAATATCATTCCTAGAGTCAAACTTTGAAGACACTCTTTTCTGAATGAAAATTTAATTCCAAAAATATGACAACCTTTCTACAATTCAGGGGGAGTTTTGTTTATCAATGCTCAAATGTAAGTCCTGTTCTATAAATAGTCGGTCATGTTTCAAAAGTGTTTAGGAGATGAGGTTGCATTAATCGTATTTCTGGTCATTCTCATAAATTATGACAGACATAAGTGTTGTATTACACAGTTGTATATGTGTAATTGTAACATCCCAAAATTATACAGTCATCAACTATATAATAGAATATTAACATATATTAATATGACAAAACAGTCTTACAAGAAAAGGGATAAAGTTCAAAAGTGGCCGAACGGCCTTACATATATACAAAAGTTTACTAGCGTTCATTAAATAATAAGGACGAACGGTTTACAAAATAAATACCGAACGTCCAACTATACAACTATAGCAAAAAGGGTGCTCGTTCTAAAACGGCCCGCTAACTTAACTAAGCTAACAGCTCACCGAACGTCCTATTGTTCGGCCTTCACTTCAACCTCTACCAGATTCTCTTCAGCAATTAATCCTTCTTCAAGTGTTTCCTCCAAAGAAGCATCTCCCTCTGCTCACATCCACACGGATGATCATTGCAAGGACAAGACGGACATACAGATACATACAACACAATGGAAAACGCAAGGGTAAGCTTATTGAATTTAACTCAAGTAAAACATACATTTCATACATATCAAACACATCAAATAAGTTACAACGTTCAATTCATTCGTTAACTCAGTCAAATTCCTGATACTAGACTGACCGTCCGGACTGTATGAATTCTGTGTAGCTACGACGTCCATGCACCCAGGTGGTATATCTGGAATACTCGTCAGCTGCCACCTGAGGTTAGTTCGTTCTGTCCAAGTTACAGTTATGGACTAAGACCTCCTGCCATTCCCACACATGACATACTCCTCTCTACTTGAGAACGAGCACTCACGGAATATCAGGATGACCCGCCAGCTAAGCTTACCACATTCATACTTTACAAATCTCAATTTCCATTCAAGAGTCGTTCCTCCCTTGAACGCTCGTTCAAAATTCATAATCATAATTTCATCTCTTATACCGTTTGCACATCATAACTCTTTCTTTTAATCACATTTTCATTCTTAGTTCCACTTTCATAAAAAGACGAGCGTTCAATCCTCTTTATAACGAGGACGAAGGTTAAAGGCGAGACCGAAAGATCTTCTTTTCCGAAAGGATAAAGCTGACACATTTTTCATGACGAATGTCATTACAATTTGAATCAGTTAAATGAACTGACTCTAGAACGATTCAACTTATACTTAGATTAATTTACTTGTCAAGATTTCAGAGTCAATTCAATTGAATGAAGATACAGAAGACGAGTACTAAATGTACTAAGTACAATTTAGTTAGAATAAACCGACTACCAGTAAATGACCTAACGCGGTACGCGAATTCACTGAAGTTTAGAACGAACGCTATTTAAGTTTACGGACGAACGCTATGAAAGTTAGGACGAACGCTATTTCTATTCGTTGGAAATTACGGAAAGAACGAGCATTCGATATAGAACCGAGCGCTACTTATATGTACGCTTTAGGACGAGCGTTCGGTATAAGACCGAGCGCCACTTAGGACGTACGCTTTGGGTCGAGATCCATTGCTAATTTAAAATTTTAGAAATAGGATTTTATATAAGTTGGAATGGTGAAGTTACATTTTTAACAATAGAACTAAGTGTCTGACTATATATACTTTCAAGTTTCTCAATCTCTCACACAACACTCAGGATATCTACGTTTGGCCGAACGCTCAAACGTAAAGTTATATATATAAAAGAGGGCTTTCGTCCTCAGATACAGTTCTTTCAAATTGAAAGGGTTCAGCTATTTCAATGAAGTTACTGAGAATACCGAATGGTCAAAGACCGTTTCGATAACGAACGTTCATTATCATAAAATTTCATATTCAAATTCAACTTACAGTAAACACATTTTTCGGTATAAACTTTCATAAATTAAATTACTCATATCATAGTACAATCCATACTTTTCATGCATTCATCTCATCATCAAAATCATATAATAAAATCTGATACCATAGATCATATTCAATAAAAATTCACAGAACATGCATCCAACACAGTATAACTCACAGAACAGTCATGCAACGTAGTACAATTCAAGAATTAAATTTAATAAGCTTCCCTTACCCGGATTCAGTAGTGATCGTTCTAAGAGTGAGTGATCTTGACTCGTCCAAATATGGCTCTCTCAACTTTTCTCTTAAGTTCTCCAACTAAAACTAATCAAAAGAAAACGAAAGGGCTTAGTTTACACCCTTGCATGCAGCTCAATCTGGGTTTGCATGAAATCCAGAAACGAGCGTCTTAGGTTGGAAAACTCACCGGATACAGAACTGAAAGTTGTTCGGTCTAAGATGAAGCTCGCGGTGCAGGGGACGTTCCTACGGTGCTGAAACGTGAACGGAGAAAAGGATGATAAGTTGCAGAAGAGAGAAGGAGAAGGGTTTTTAGAGAGAAGGAGGAGAAATGAAAAGTCTGAGTTTTGGAAGGAAGAAGGTGCGTGCAGGAAAAGTGGGATGATTTTTCCAGAAAATACTTTTGTTTCATCCACGTCCAAACGGACGAGCATTCCCCTACCGACACCTGTACCCCCAATACTGACTTCAGAAACTTCTACTGCAACACGTGGCTTTTGGTGCATGGATTACTAAGTGAATTTTTAATGCACCGAATGAGTGACGTGAGTGCATTGATGTAAGCAGCTAGGTGACTCAGCACCGAAATAATGAGACGTGACAGTATAATATCTTATGCATGTGTTGTTTTATTTGATAAACAAAATGTTTGAATAGACAATAAAAATATTTACTCTTAAGTACTACTGTACACATTGAATATTCTAAATGACTATTTTAGCTACATAGAGAATGTTGGCTTATTTGTTTCTTACAAGAGAACGTCACGAAGGTGTATTTACATAAAAAATCACTTGAATAAATGTATAAAGTTGTTTTTAATAAAGTTGTTTTTATGCTAACAAGTATTGTTACTGTTAAGGTCTAAGTGCAAGAGGTAGTGAATTGAAGAGTATCACTCATTTTTTGCAAAAACTTATAATAAAAATCTTATTAAATTTATTAGTTCCATAGTCCAATTAAATTTACGCAAAGAAACAAAATTGATTTATATCAATAAATTGAATGATATATAGAGAGAGAGAAAAAAATTACACATGTTTTCGTAATTTACTCTATTTCAAGAGTTACGTTTAGTTATTCATTCAGTCAAAACAATAATTTTAAAGTTTTAACAAGTAAACAATCAAAACAATAAAAGTTGGATTATTTTTATTTTTCTTTAAAATAGTTGGATTATTTATGGGATTTAGGATTAAAAAGTGATTTTTAAAAAGTTAAATAATTTGAAGTAAACCAAAATTACCGGATGACTATTAAGAGATAAACAAAATATTAATGCCAAGATAATTAATATTAATATTTAACAATTAAAAGGTTAACAACTAAAAGGTAGAAAAGGTAGAGTATGATTATCAATAATTATTAAGTTCTAAATTTCAAATAAAGATTCAAAATCTATAAATATAAATTTTATAAATATAAGTTTAAAATAAAAAGATAAGAGATATATATTTATTATATGAAAAATTGTATTTATTATACTATTAATGTTAAATGTTAAGTTCATCGTAAATAAATAACTAGTTACGTCTTTTTGTATATTTTATAATTATCAGTTAATTAACATATAAGAGTACTTTCAAATTTTGAATTCAGTAAATTAAAAAGAAAAAAACACAAGTAACTTATTTCTTAATCCTTATATTTTACCATATAAATCTTTAAATTTCTTTTTAAAACAGTTTTAACTATTATACTGATATTGATAATTTATGAGAAGGGATTCAGTGATAAATGATCTTTTTTCCGGAAAGAAGTAAGTGAATCCTTTCATGGAAAAGATCATTATAGTACTGGAATCCTGATGCTATTATATAACATTACTTGTTACATATCCAAATTAAAATCATGAATATTTTAAACCTAAACCACTTTACATATGTAACTTTCTATTTTGTTATCGTCCCACTAATTTCAACTTTATCTCTAATTATTAATTATTAATTTATGATCAATGAAAAACGTGGCCACGCTTCACCACACATTTTTTTTTCTATTTATTATTTGGAGACAGCATTGCATTGTGTCATGTATGGCATCAATAATAAAACCTTGTTTTATTATATTTGTTTTGTTCCATTTCCCTACCATTATTGTCGGATGGTCACTGTTGAATTGCAAGTTGATCCATTCTTTATACAATCTGAATATCAAATGTGAACATGAATACGAATAAATTAAAGATGCTTCTATTTTTCACACTCATTACAAGCATGCCGATAAATAAATGCGTTTGGACTTCTTGACACTGATGTTCATAAAATCAGTCAAGAGCTATAAGGTGAAAGATCCATTTATATAATTTGTAGGTAGCTTTTGGAAAATAAATTACATCAAATTTTAAAAGACTAAAAGTTAATTACTATTCAATATATGCATTATCTCGTTTGTTAAATTTTTATGAATTCTGTGACTTTTACTTTTACGTACAGTTATTATTTTTATGAAACAGTCTCTCTTACAAATTATTTTCTTTTTAATTTCAATCAAACTTTTCAAAATTTCAATAGTAATGATAAT